CGTGGAATCGGTAGCTTGCCTTTTACTGTGAGGGTGCTGGAGGGGGGGAGAAGGAGACACACATGGGTCAGTTTTACCCGAGACAAAGAGATTTGTGCAACCGCAGGCTCTGGTTTTCATGAAGGTGGAATCGGTTCTGCATGTTGGCGCCACAACAGAAGGTCTCAGATGTCCGTGGGGCCGATCACGTGTCTGATCCCCCCCCACTTCTCTCTTTGCAGGGTAGGAATATGCTTATTCACATTATCGTGAATTTTGAAGAGAAGATCGATACCAGCTGCTTGTTTATTATCAAATTATAGAACAACGTGCCGCAACAAGTTGGCTTACAGACGAGCGGGCTTTGGTGTCTGCAAGACTGACCTACCCACATCCTCTAAACCAGGGGTGTCAAACATAAGGCATGGGGGCTAGAATTGGCCGGCAAAAACCCCAATCTGGATGGCTCTGAAAAAGGCAATTTTTGTTTTTGACTTTTAACTGTGTTTTCATACGTTTTACAGCTTTTTCCTTCCCCATACTATCATACTGTGAGCGATGAGCTGCCCACTTTATTATTTAGTTATAATTTCTTAAAGTTTGAGTTGATTTTATTTCACTTACTACAGTAGAAAAACTTTATCGTGTGGAAAAACTGATTTGCTCTTTAAATGTGTGGTTAAACTTCTTCACACTGACAGAAAGATGTTCAGCTGTATGTGGCCCACAATGGAAAATGAGTTTGACATCCCTGCTCTAAACTATTTAACTAAGAGGGTTTTTTTGTTTGTTTTTTATTTTCTTTCAGTTGAAAAACTTTCGCCAGTGCTGGACACACATTGCTTTGACTAGCTCCCACAAAACCCCACGGCACAGTAAGTCCCATTTTGTGCTACACACAGGTGGGAAACGGGATCATGGAGTCCACATAATGAGACATACTACAGGGTCCCCTGTGGGACGTGTCATTAATGCCTCCCTAAATAGCAGCGTATCGATCTTCTCGTTCAACTCTTAACAAGAAAAATCCAAAACGGCCCAAATTGTCATTTGGGATTCCCGGAGGTTTGTTTTTTTCTTCTGCCTGCTGGACCTTACACACACTAAGCCATGTTTCGACTGAATGTTCTCTTTCTGCACATTTAAACTGGCCTGCTTCTTCATAACTCGCACGACAACAACAGCTGTCAGTGTCACACACTGAGTCTACACGGGATCCTTTGTGAACACAGCACACGACACAAAACACTTGCAGTAAAGATCTATCACAAAATGTGTACTCTATTGCACCAGTGATGTTATTATTATAATGGCATTCTTTTCCACGATATTATCAAACAACTTCTATCGATATACATATATATATATATATATATACAAACATATATATATATATGATTTTTCTCCGGTTGAGAAGAATCGGTGCACACTGACTGTTAAATCTCCTGTACCATTTTGTTTTTTCTTAACTGATCTGTGTGTGTAGAAAACGCCATCGTTCTTGTTGTAAAATTGTGTTTACTGACAAAGTGCGTTCTGGTGCTGTTGTTGTTTGACTCGGTGTAGAGTTTAGACCTTCTCCAGAGCGATCTGTGTGACTTCAAGTTTCTGCAGGCGTCTGGTTATAACTGAATAAAGATTTTTTGGCAGCTGTTTGTTAGCTGCTGTCGGTGTGTCGTTTCTCCTGAATGTGGCGCTTCTGTGTGAGTGCAGTTTAACCACACGCTTTCTGATAACACAAAGTGTTCCTTAAGATTGTTTATTGGAAATAATGTAGGTCAATTCTACAGATCAATTTTAGAGTTAGTACATTTCTAACAAGCTCAATATTTGGTATGACATCCTTTATTCTTCAACATAACTTGGATAAAAGAGTTTCTTGTGATTTCTTTAAGTAGTCTTCAAGAATAGTTTTCCAGGCTTCTTGAAGCACCTTCGGATGTTGGCTCCCTTTTGTTCTGTTGTCTGATCCCACACTGCTTCAGTAATGTAGAGAGCTGAGCTCTGGGGAGGCCAATCCATGACAGATATGGTCATTATGTGGTTTTCTGTCTAATTATGCTATTACTGTATTGGCCATGAGTTTGGGATCATTCTCATGCTGACAAATGAAGATTTTGCTGATCTGATGCCAGTATTACATAGTGGATCAGAAGAAGATTCCCTTCGCTTCCCCATTTCTTAAGGACATGACTGTCAGATACTGTTCAGCTGCTGTAGATAGTTCGGGCCTACCAATACTTCTTTTGTCCTCCACTTGTCCAGTTTCCTCAAATTTTTTAGGGGCCAATGTGCACACTGTGCTGAGATACATAAGTTCTCAGTTAATGGCTCAAAAATACTGTTTTATGGCAGTGAAACTGCGACTCCACTAAAGAAATTGGAGCAAATAAGTCTTTGTAGCCAGCTGCTGGTGACAAAATGTGTAAAGATACAATTTAAACTTCTTTACAAAGTTGTCTGTATTACTTCATCCATATTTTATGTGGACTTGGGTCAGTTTTACGTAGCTTAAACAAATATTTCTCTGAAAACGGTCAGGCATGAGGACTGGATTGAAAATGAGTGAAAAACAAACAGCCAATGTGTAAAGAAAACCTTTGAAAGCCTGGAGAACTATTGCTCGAGACCACTTTACAAGAAAGTCTGGCTCCTTGGAAGCAAAATATAAAGAAATGAGGGGTGACTTGAGACTTTTGCACAGTACTGTGGTAGGAATAACAATTAAATATGAATACCAACTGCTTTGTTAGTCATATTATTGCAGTCAACTCTAAATTTATACTTCTCATTTTACCGCTGCTTTAGCCCAGACTTCAGGTCTGATTTAAACGCTGATCAGATCAGTATTTTCAACTTTTTCCAACTCCAGTGTCACTGAAACTGCTGCTTATATATTTAGAAGCCGGTTACAAACATTTTAGGCCTGTCGTCTCCTCTGACTTCCTCACTTCTCCTACATCTCCCCTCACCGTGACAGGCATCAGTAATGACTGTGAGTCAGTTCAGCAGCAGGCTCCAGGCTGTCTGGGTCGGACTGAGATGTAAACGCACCACAAGCAGAGCTTCTGATCTTGGCTGCCCTCTTGTGTTCAGTTGAGGTATTGCACCTTTATAATATTTGTGTATTTAATGTAAAATGACGTCATAGAAACTAATGAATAAACACAGTAGGGTAAGCAACGTTGCCTGAGTGACTCCCCACTCCTCCCACATAAAGTCAATGAGCACCGAGTCAGGTTACTTCAAAAGTCTTTTAATTAGAGTGCATTTCTTGTCTCCATGGTTCCATTCATGAACAAAAGTGTGTGTGTGTTGAATAAATGACTCCAAATAAAAACGCCTCAGATAAAAGGCTGCAACAAATTTGGTGGAAAGGAGTGTTCCCGACCCTTGGTCTGCATGGCGACGTTAATGGCGAAGGGCGAGCTGAATCACACGCACGATTGGACCACCAGCAGGAGAAGACTTGCACAAGGTCGGTCGTGCATCCAGAAGAGTGGAAGGGTTACAAATCAGTAGTTTAGTTACGCTCACGTCTCAGAGGAAGCCCTGGCTGACTCCACACTGGCTCTGTTCGCCCTTCGAGGTTCATTGAGCCTCCATCGTCACCCGTGGGTAGCACGCAACTCGATTCATTCATTGTTCAGTAGTTCAATAGTTTCTAGGATGTGCAGGATCAATAGCGAACTGAAAACAGTGGTCACTGAAGATGCACCACTAAGTTTACCTTCAACACTCAGAAATGGTGATTGATCTCTGAAAGCAGCCTTTATTTGTTTTACCCAATACTGTATGTACCTGTGCAGTCTGCCAAAACTCTACCACCAGAATCAGAATTTCAATTATTCATGCAACTTCCCCCCAAAAAGCAGGAAAAAGCCTGTTAAGCTTAGTGCGCATATTCAAAATAGGGAGGGAAACCTTCTCTGTTACAATATGATTTCATATCAGTGAAGTATCCTCTTGCTAGGCGTTTTATCACGGACAGCGCGGGTAGGTTTAGGTGTTACCTCCCACGCAGGAACAATGAAGTGTTTAAATATTGACTCTGGCTCTTTTTTTTCCCTCTTTCACCTCAGGTCAAGGCTGAACCTTGACGCTGTGTTTGCTCTATCTCTGTTCCGCTGATCTTGGCAGTTTTCCTGTAACTATCTGAGCGTGGATCGTTCTCTGACAACATCATCACAAAGACAAAGAAAGGAG